AACTGTTAGGGTTGGCTGTCAAATACGCTGTTAATATCTCAGTAAATCGTCGTTAGAAGCAAGTGGATTTCCACGTGAACGATCGCCCCACATTCTTGAATATTCACGCCTGTTCGTCGACACTTAGAGAAGCTAAGCCTCCATTATTCGCAGTCTTTACAAGTGTAAAGCTGGGAGCGTAAGAAGCTGACCAATACTGAGGCATCGTTTGAGGTGTTCGCGCAGATCTTCCTGGTTCAACGAAAGGTTTAAAGGCTATTTTTAAACGTAAGCTCTGATGAACTGCTTGCCAGAGAGGGAACAACGGGGATCAGGATCGAAATATGTGAGGACCGAGGTTCATGATGCTTCTGGCACTTACCGTATGTGTTAGCTACCATGCTGAATGCTGCCACGTGGCGTTGATCAACGTTGCAGGGCAATCGACGAACGAACGGAACTCATCGACGGCAGCCAAGCAACGAACTCAGCGCGTCGACTTCATTCTCGATGATAATCCATAAGACGAAGCGCGAAAATGACTAATTCCGGATAAACCGTTTCCTCTATGAGGCGTTCGTTCGCTAAGAGTTTGTTTCCGGTCAACAAAAACCGAACAACTAGACTCAATGTCTTGACGACGACTGACTTCGCAGATGAAGCGTCAACCCCGTTGTTGCTGTAACCATGAAATGACATATGCAAACAAATAGCCGAAGAGGGAGATCTCACACAATCGCAACTTTATACTAAAAAACCCTATGTCAATTCTCAAACTGATGAATGAAATGAAGACGTGATCTTGTTTTGTACATACAACGCTGAAGACTTGATGTCATTGAGAAGCGTCTACCTCATTCTTTGAGGAAAAGCGAAATATGGAAAGAAACGCTGAACAGACCTAATATTCCACTTAGTTTATTTCCCTTTGTTCAGTTAAGGACAGAAGAATTCGAAGGAGGCACCGTCGACACTAATTCTCTAGACAAGAAGGGCAAATTATCTTCTTTCGTTGTGCTGCCTGCCCTCTGAACGGAGCCTGGCGACTCAGTGACATTGGAAATGCAAAATTTATGACAATGGTTGACGGTCCATACCAAGAAGTGGAATTCTGGCCAGTTGCTTGACTAGCATCTAGAAGTAGGAAATAGTTATACTTGTACTTATCTATCGCTATCCATCTGAACAGAAAATAAGATTTGCCTGTCATGGCGTTTAATCAAAACGAACCAATGAAATGATTTGAATGTCATGAAATCTAGCCAGGTGACCTAAAGACATGTGCCATGAAAACAGAGTACGAAATTAGCTGCTAAAGGCTACAGAAATCCGAGAGAGCCTTGGGGTACAGCCACTGCTTCTTCAGATTGAGAAATCACAGCTGCGATGGTTTGGCCATGTGTTGCGAATGCCTCCAGAAACGAAGGCAAAGCAGCAACTACTTCTCTAGCCAACCGACAGAAGACCCAGGGGACAACCAAGATTAACCTGGTGCAAATGCATGGAAGTTGTCTTTTGCCGAAGCTCAGACTCTGGCACATGATCGGGAAAGTTGGAAGCACTGTCCGACGCTTCTGCCTCCGCGACCCGAAAGGAGAATGGAGAAGCGGTCATGGAAATTGAAGTGGAGGTTGCAAAAGTCAAGCCCATGACCTAATCCTCTTATTTCATCCCTCAAGTAACGCGTTCGAAGAAAGCTGCTGGAGTTTCGAATCGAAGTCTCGCCAATGACATCATTACGAAGGCAGAGCTATTAATGATTTCTGCTCCTTCCCTCAGTCGCAATGACCATACAGACTGTCAGCCAGTGAGAAATTCAAAGGTGTAAAGAACCCTCCGGAGAAACATAGGATAGACCGATCGCCATTTCTTTCTCACCGTTCCTCAATGAAGTCAATGGAAGGAAGTGGCTTTGGTCACTGCTTATGCCATTCAACTGCACGAGAGAATCTTCCAAGAACACAAAGGCGAAAATTTGCTTTCAAATGACGTCAAGGCCAATGATTTAACGATTAATGAAGATCAGTAGAGCGAGTGTGCCTGGATACCATCAGTGTACAAAGTTGTCAGGTGCAAATCTACGTACCTCTACGTGAGTATGAAATCGTGTTGCAATTGAGGTAATCGAAGAAGGCCATTGGTTCTTGCAAAAGCTGTTTAACAAATTTCATAAACGTCTTTCATGAAGACCAACTTGGATGAACTCTTATGTCAGATATCAAAAGTCGACCGTGACCTCAGCATGCTTATCGCCCAGGCTATTCAATAAAGTACAAGTTCGTTGAAAGCAAACCTTTGAAGAATCAGGGAGTCCTTGAAGGAACAGAAGACAGGTTTGAGCGCTTTCAGCTTTTGTCCTCGGCCCATAGAAGCAGCTATAAACAATACGAAAAGCTGATCCTCGAAAATTTACGACACTTTGTGTTGATTATCACGCTGGCGAGTCAAATATGAGGTGATGCTATGCAAAATGACCACAACAGGAGCTCACGTCAAACGGTATGGCCAGCCGTTTCGCCAGTTCTGGTATGATCACTCCAGAACGCCGTTCTTTCCCTGTTGTTCGCAGGCCAACGACAGCAACTCTTTCCTCGACTGGTGTAAAGTGGACTGCTTGTTCTAGGCAATTAGTGATTAAGCGAAACTTGAACTTGTTTCATTTTGGATTTACATTTGGATTTGGCTTTGATCTTTCTTTATTGGGTCGGAAAGCGGCACCCCACCTCCCGTCTTCGAAGCGTATCTTTTACGCCTACGCGGTCGCTTCCGGTGGCAGATGACAGATCGATTGTCCGTTTCTATTCGTTCTGGCCTTTCACTCTAGTCTTGCATTCCCTTCTGTTTCGATCCATGCAAGTGCCATCCGTTCGGCGTTTAGCTGTTTTTCAACTGGATGCAGAGTTCATAAAGTGAAACGACGAAAAACCGGCGGTTATAAATGAGCGGCGACTTTAGCTCATTCGCCAAAGCTTCATTAATTTCGCCTTGTCGGTAATGAATCAGCTGATAAGTGAGTCAGTTCGTGAGTTATGAGTTCAGTGAAAGGAGGTAAAAACGGCCATGGTGGTAGTGGTGATGGCGGCAGCGGCGGTCATCGCGCCTTGGCGGCGGCGTGCTACTCCTGTCGTGATTTACCGACACAATTTATTTTATGATTTATTCCATCGCTTCTTCAATTACAGCGTCAATCGACGAGAAGCCACGTGACAGTCAACATCGCAACCATGAATCATGTTTCTATTTACTTATGCTGTAACTACTTTAAACAATTTTCCTCCAGGTGCCCTAGAAACTAATGGTTGGAATGGACAGAAGTACTCACTGGTTAATGATGTATGTATATATCGGTACGGATGTTAGGATACCAAATATAATCATGAAAATCGATATGGCGGTGAGAATTGGTAAATGGTACTTATTCTCCTTATATTCGTTATCAAGCAGTGAGGAACATAACTAACCGATTGCACTGAGGCATCCCAGGTCCTCTTTTGTCGACCATGAGCGGTTAGTGTCTTATTCACATAGGGAACGGAAGTCGTTCGACAGATCATCGATTAAATATCCCTAACGGGCGACAGTTCCATCACTCATTTCCGTGTGCTGCATCCGAAATGACTGCACGCTTGAAAGTCGTGGCTATCGGGGTCCATCTCTTACGGTAAGTAGGATCTCTGCTATAGCCGCTACTCAGGCTCGAGATTTTTCTAAACCTTTTTCTGTTATTTGTACTTTTATTTGGGCCAAAATTTCACTGCTTATTAGCCGTCATCAAAATGAGCTCTTTTCCATGTTCTCTGCCAAAAAATAACTCTTTACCCGTTGCTTTGAAGAAATGACCGTTAAACAGTGAATAATATAGAAATTATCCGGTCGTACTGTTTTCTCGACAGCTGAGTTTTCGCGTAACTCAGAGGAAAAGGTCTGTTACTGTTATGGTTGTCGTTTAAGGCTACCATATAGTGCTTAGGCAGCAGGGTAGCCCAGAATCATTATGTCCGATTGTTCGAAGTCATCTATCAGACTAATGTCTGGTGACGTTACACTGAAATCAGCGATTTTAGCAGATTTGCGCCAATCGGTTTACAGTGATTGGAGGAACAGAGAAACAGAAGGTGGTACAGTTCTGCCATCTGCAAGAAAATAGCCTAACTTCGCTGACCCATCAGCTGCTGAGGTTGGAACCCAAACAAAAACGAAACGATGATGTGTTGTCGATGAGGGATTTTTCCATTTCTTACGTAGGAGATACATCTAAATATTAAAGGGTAAAATCTGTTGAGATGAAAGGATATCACTAGTATTGAGTAGTCAGCAGTTTTACTAGAAAGTTGCCAAAATAAAAGGAATCTTGAGTCAATAATCCAGGATTCACTGTAGCATTAAATATCGGTTCTTTCAGTATTCAGTATTTATGCCGCGTCGGAACAACTCACTTAAAAACAACAACGTGCTCCGATGGCAAGTTGAGGTCAAGCCAAACTTTGAACCCTTTTGTGCTGTGAATATACTTTCGTTTTCTCCTGAGGGGCACATTTTTGAACTCTATTCAAGAACTGTATTTAAATTCAATGCCCAGGGTGCTGCGACGATCGCTGACAAACATCACTGGGGCTTATGGAGAGGAACGAGGGAGAAGTATCTGGAACTTTCGAAGCAGAAATGGGAAAGAATCCCAGGTGTAAACATCGTCGAGGACCACAGGTTACATGGGAGGTTTGCCTATGACCTCCGGACGAGCATTTCGTCGTTTAGTCGAGGCAGAATCATTCCTTCCTCGCGTCCTCCT